CATGATGCATACATATATATATATATATGTTAGAGAATATGTACGAGGGTTTTCTGTTCTCAGTAAATTAAATTGGTAATTAATTTTTCATCAGTAAATTAATTTTTCAAATATGCGTGAAATAATTTTAGTACCAGTTTTTTAGTTTTGGTATGACGCTGGTAAGCTTAAAACTGGTGGAAGAGGAAAATATGCAAGGTTCTTTGTAGTGATCAATATTGAGTTACTCAAGAAAAGAAAATTAAGCATTTGGCTAAGAATAGCAAATTTATACTTTCGTCAGTTGGGGGGGGGAATTTCCAGCTCAAACCAATCCGTATTAAGTTCAATGATAGCCAACAAAAAAAAGGAAAACAAATCCTCTAACATTTATTTAACATACGGAAAACATTTAACCTTAACATGAAACATAAAAATGTCATAAGGAAAACACTTATTTGGGGACTAGTAACTAGCAAAAGACGAATACATTCTTGACCTACTAAACTTTTCTTTATGAGCTTAACCATCCCTGGGGTTAGGAACTGTAGATATTTGAATAAACTCATGCTACATTTCAGATTTTTTTCCACAGTACCGTACAGTTGAATACAATTAAGAATAACTTCTATGCAAGTACATGGCTCAACATGAATTAATATTTTTACTGTGTAGTAAACGTGAAATACGCCGTTTGACTATGGAGCCCTATAGTAACTCCTGTGTGCAAATAAATCAACGTACTTCTTTTATGCTTATTAACAAGCAAAAAATTACAAAACCCATACTCACCCGAAATGGTTCAAACCAACAAGAACCAATTATTGAAGGTCGAACGATTGCCACTGGTAAATCCTTAGCAAAGTCATTTAAAATATTTTCAGCTAGGCATTTGCTGAAGGTGTAATTATTGGGAAAATCGGGTTTAATCATATTTTTTAATCTTTCCAGCTCATCGCAGTTATCATTACTAAAAGAAAAAGATGTCGCATAAATTTAGAAAATGCAGTCTTAAAATAATAAACTAAAAAGAGTAAATCAAATTATTGTTCTTACTAGCACAATTTTCATGCTAATATTATATAAAAATACACATTGATTCAATAGCATATGTTGATACGATTGAGTTTTATATCATTAAGCAATATCAAGCAAATTAAAAGTAAATTAAAAATTACTCAGCAAGTAAATTGACTTAACAGTAAATTAACAAGCAAATTTTGAGTAAATTAACTTGAAAACTCGTCGAAAAGAGAGGAGCGTAGATTCAAAAATACCACTAACCTACAAGCAACGATTTAAGATCGAACGATTGCCACTGATATATCCTTACCTAAGTCACTGAAAATACTTTCAGACACCCTCAGTGGTAAACGGATCATGGGTTAGAGTCCCCTTGCCATCAGGCTAACAGTGGGAGGTTCTCGTAATCTTCCTCTCCATGTAACGCAAATGCGGATTAGTTCCATCAAAAAGTCCTTCATGGAGGCATATTTCTTCCAATACTTGAACCAGGAGTTCCCTTGTCTTCCGGGTTGGGTTAAAAATTACAAGGCTACAGAGTTGAGCAATAGTAGTTGTAAACCAAATTTTGGGCAGGTTTGAGCTACAGTTATAACTTGAAACTATTGTTTCTAGACTTCATTAAAAATTGTTGAGCTGAGATAAGATTCTCTAAACTCTTGCTAATAAAGTCAATAATGTACACTGAGTAAACTGTGGAGTAATATCGCTCCGAAATCGATTTTAAAATACCTTAAAAATTGTGTGAAGGATTATTTTTTTTCCTAATTAATACTAAAATGAGCTTTCATATATACAATTTAAAGGGTGCATGAAAGCTCTAAACACCGAAAATTCAGAACTTTTACTCCAAGATCACTCGCCCTCACATCATACGTTAAAAAATTTTTTCTTCCAAAAACTCCAATGTTCGTACATTTTGATTTCACCTGTAATTGTTTACAATCAATATCGAGTTGACAAGTATTTTAACCTGTCTTCAATTTCACTTTTCAACTGCAGAAACTAAAGTTCACGCTTAAAATATGTATGCAGGATTTTAGTTGTGCAATAAGGATATTTATATTTTACTGCATTAAGCATTAAACATTACTGCATTAAATAATTTTATTACGTATAATTTCTTCCCGCTCTTGCTGTGTTTAAGCCTAGTTTGAATTCGTCTTACTATTCTCTCTGCACGTCTGATTTACGAACACATTTTATTTAAAAATTTAGGACATGCAACCAGCATAAATTACTGATTCTTACTTTTTATTGTCTCGCAAAAATAACCTTTCTGATTCTTATATGTATCCTATCTAACTGTAAATATAAATTTTAGTGTTATTAAATAGCAAATATGATAGTTGGTGGAGGTTACTTTACACCAAGAAGTTTAAAAGAACAGTCTAGGTGTTTTACAGCACCAAGAACTATCCTTGGGTTTCGGTGTAGTTGAACACTTAGTAGTACATCACTTTGGTGTTAAGTAGTAGCCACCATTTTTAATGTAGAGATACACAGAAAATTTTTGCAATGTAAATACATAAAATTATTTTGTGGTTCCTTCTTCTATGACACAAACAAGTCGGCTACGAGTAGTTAAGACCATTACAGTCTTCTGTACAGTACACATTTGGTCCAAACATACACATTTGGTCTGAGTCCACTTTTTTTGATGCGCTATTAAAAAAAGAAATATGTGTCGCCATCTTACATATTTTTGAATACAGAGAAAACAAACGAAAGTAAGCTAATGTAAAGAAAAAAATAAAATAAATATAATTGCAAGCTTTACTTGAGAATATCACATTTAGGTAAACTAAATGTGATCTTTATGATATATAATTAATTAAGCATAGTGTGTATGTAATAATGAGGTTATATATCATGGTATTGATTGTTATCTTTTAGAAACAAAAATGACAATTCAAGATTACAAAAATCTTCAAGTAATATTGCTTCACAAACACAACTTGAAATACCATACAAATATAAAATGCTTAAAAAGCAGAGACGCTGAAAAGTGTTCGCCAAAAATGTTAAACCCGCAACTATTCGTAAAAGTTTTAAATGATGAAAAAAGAATTGGTAAACCCAAAATTTTTTCAGCGTTTTTAAGATTTTTATACTTTACCTCAATGCATCCATATACCTCTTCGCTTTAAAAGGTAATCTATAAACATGTTCTTCAATTACAGTTCGATTACAGTTTGAATATGCAGACGAAGTGTAAACTAACACCTAAAAAGGAAATAATTTATTCCGATTAAATCGTTTCAAAAAAATAAAATAATAAAAAGTTCATAATAAATAATATTGATCCTTTAATAAAAGAAAACTGTATTTTTTAAACCATTTTTACTGCTTCAACTTTCCAATTCATTTGCAGTTTAAAAACTGATGCGCTGATGATTCATGATGTATACCATCATGAATGCCAGCAGATTTATATCATCGTAATCATATTTAGATTCATGCATCCATTTAATTATTATACACAATATCATGGAATGTTTGCAAATTGTTGATGACCAGACTCATTATATCTCTAACTTACCATCGAGTTTTCAAACCATTGTTGCCGTGTAAAATTTTTGAAGTTTTAAATGAGATGCATAAATCTGAACATTTGAGAAATAATGTACCTTTTAAGTAGAAAAATATTATCAGGCATTGCTAATCTCAATGTATTGAATATAGTTGCAGATAAATTATATGGGTGGGTGTATCTGAAATATGACCTTTACCAAAACGCTATGCTAATCACAAGCATTACCACACAAATTCATTAGCACAATTTCTAATTTTCTGTAAAACGACGACTTGAATCCAAATATGACTCCTATTTACCTTAATCTCATCTTCTACAGTTTTCTCAGAACTCTCCCCTCACGTTTATCACTTTTCAATATTTTTACGGCCATGACTTTAATTTGGAGAGGGAGGTTATTTAAACCGTCCATTTAGTTTCTTATGGGGTAAGAAAGGTGAAAAGTTTTAATACATATGACAAAAGCAGCGGTGGCTCAGAGAATAGAGCATTCGCCTTCCAATGAGGTTTGAATCCCTGCAATGGTTGGTCGGTAGGAATTCTGCACCTGGGTCACACCGCCCACAGTGCTTGCTAAAAAGATCCCCAGTTGATCATGGGATGGAGTCCTCTAGATTCGGGCTAACCATGGAAGGCTTCGTGGTTTTTCTCACAATGTAAAGTAAATGCGAGTTAGTTCCATCAAAAAGTCCTCCACGAAGGCTAGTTTTTTCCGATGGTTCATCCAGGAGTTTTCTTGACTTCAGGGTTGGGTTCATAATTTCAAGGCTACTAAGTTGAACGTTAGTAGGCATAAACACAGAATTGGATCAGCTATTTAACACCGGTTATAAAATATAAGACAATAAAATACATAGGGCAATTCCAGCAAGAAGGAACATTTTGAAGAAATTAACCTCGAAGGTTTCCAACTGGATGAAAATCAGCAATTTTGGCACAATTCATAATTTTCGACTTTTTTATTACCCATGTTTCAACTAGATTAGCGCACTGGCTTTCCAAAACTCATTAAATTTTAATCTACATTTAAAAATGAAGTTTCTTTTTTTTTTGTATACTGACAGGCGAAACTGAAACTGGTAGTTAACCCTCGAAAATGGAAATGACACTAAAAGGCTTTTTGTTTCGCTTTGAGTATTTTAAACTTTATTTATTTGAATAAATCATATTTATAAAACAAGCAAAATTCATTTTCAGAAATAGATTTTCAAATTAAAATTTTTTTTGTTGATAGAATTATCCATTTCAGATTTTACTTGCATTTTAAATGCTTTATCTGATGAATGCTGATTTTGAGAAAATTTCTTTATTTTAACACATTACAAAAAAAATTATTACAAAAAATTTTTAAACTTTATTTGCTGATTTTGTCCAATGTTATCAACGTTTTGATCAAAATCAAAGCTCAAAGCTATGGTCCAAGTTTGATTTTGTTATTTTCATCAAGATTTAAGTAAGAATATTAAAACTCTTTCGTTAAAAAATCAATATTAAGTTCTATTCATATTCAATATTCTATTCAATATGCAAATCCATTTCCTTGTTTTTCTGAAATATTTTTAAGATTTTAGCTTAAAACACAAAGGATCACATTAATGATCAAGAAGAATATTATTTTGAAATTTATGCATTATAATTTATTGCTGTAAAGCTGTAAGCGAGATGGGAAACACTTGTGGTTTTTAAGTTTAAATTTGCCTTTATTTTGAAAAGTATTAATAAAAAAAATTTAACTTTGACTTAAATTTAAAATGTTAAGATCCCTACTTTTAAACATAAAATTAAAATCTGAATTATGCCTTATTAAAAACAATTGTGTCAAAACCAGTCGGTTGCCTTAAATTGTGAGAAAAAAAACAGTTAACTATTTTTTTCATAGTTTTTTAAATTTATTTTCAACATAGTACAGATTTCAACCCACCTATTCCCTCAGGAAACATTCCATACTGATAAAAATATTATGCACAATTTTGTACAAAAAAAGATCAAGGGGGAAAACATCTGAAAACCCACTTACGGTCGAAATTGTGGCGTATTATTTTGTTTTACTATTGTTTGATTAAAAGTTTCATAATTTTGGAACTCTTCGGAAGGGAAAAAAGTCTTAAAATGTAAAAATTCAGTTGAAAAACTACAAAAAAAAACACTGAAAACAATAGTTTTTAATGATTCTTTTTAATAATTTAATGAGACAGATCCCGCTACCGAAAAATCTCCTTTGCTTATTCATGTTTACGAAATTTTCATCTCTACAGCGCAGCATAAGGTATGTAACAGTTAAAATATTCCTTTCCCCTTAAAATCAAATTCACAGCAGCAGAATTATTGAAAAGTAATAAACATAAGAGAGCGTTGCTTCTAAAATAATGGGCAATGAGTAAAGCGAAATGCTTTACGTAATAACTAGAAGGAATGATTTCAGCATGCAGTGTTACTTTAGTTATTTGTACTTCCTTAACAAACTTTATTCATTTCTTAACTTATATATAGTTTCGCATCACTACATAATAATTTTTAAGCGATATATTTTAAATAAAGAAATCTTACAATGAATCAAAAACAGTACACCAAATTCGGAAGATAAGTTTACATTACATAAATTGCACCATCGCACAGAAGGTGAACTACGCACAGTTATCTGGATTCCAAATTTATTAATATAAAACTATTTATATGAAAATTATGATTAAACATTATTTTTTTTATATTACATTTTATTTTTTTAATTACTAGTTATCTTTTAAAAGCAATTGCTACGATAATTACTGATTGCATTATTTTATTTTTACTTTGAGTATAGTCAACATTATTTTTTCGTTTTTATCCATTAAATTTCAGTGATTTATTGTCCTAAACATTTCATTTATACAACAGTCTTAATGTGCTTGATGCAAACCATCTACAATCAATGCTGCATTGTAACGATCTTCCACGTATTGATGCAATTTATTTTTGGATTCTGTAATTGCACTTTTTTTATTTCGGAGAGGGTCAGATATATGAACAGATATATGTGTATGATGTTGGCTTGTTGAATAATCCAAACCGTGAAGACAATCGAAATCATTTTGTATTGCGCTAGGCTAGTTGCAAAAATGTATTTCCATGTTCTTTTCTTTCCAATTTTCCTACCACTTTTGGCTCCCAATAACTTTAAGCTGATTAAAAAAGAAATCATTCATTGCTCAATTAGCTTAAAGACATATAAACTGCTTGTTATAAATCCAAAACTGTATATATATATATA